GGGGGGGGGATTGGTCAAGTTCGAGTGAATTTCGATCCTACATGTAGCAGAATTGTGTGACCGCTATATATATAATTCACTAGGCCGTGATAGATGACCTGTGCGCTTTTGTTAGCGCGGTTTTGATTGGTTACAATTGTTAAAAGTAGGGGGTGTTTTCTATGAGCGGGAAAAATGAACTAAGGGCCATATCTCTTTATATAGACGGACACAAGACCCGATTTTAGAATGTGACACTCCTACCTCCTAACATACACAACTATAGCAAGTTTGGTCAACGTAGGTGAAATAACATGCCGTGAACAAACTTCGGTATTAAAAATAAACAAATGGCAATAACTCTGTATATAGTGTGGCACGAGACCCGATTTTAGTGTGAGGGATTCTGCCTTCCCAAGATATATAAATATGGTAAGTTTGGTCAACGTAGGTAAAATAACATGAACATTCGAAGGGGAGACATAATAAGTTCACATTTTCTGTAAATTGTACCTTTCTATTGCACAATTGCATCGTAAATGTTGCGTGTCTTGTCGATTTTTGATGAATCTAAACTCTCATAGTCTTCCTCGTGGCTTTGGTTGTCTGCAAGGAAATGAACATTCGTGAGCTATCGTCATATTATTACAAAACATATGAAATGCCTTAAACATCATTTGTTCTTCATTTTGAAATAAATTGATAAACATATGCTTAAGTATTCTAATATAAAACAAATAAAAAAAATTCATAATAATAATTCGAGGTTCTTATATACCGCTTTAGCAATATAGTTCGTAGGTCATCTCAAAGCAGTTCACAAATTATTATCCGTGGTTATAGGGTCTTTGCAACCCACCACGTGTTTTAATAGTTGCTGTTCAACGCTAGTGTCATCTGTCTGAATTAATACACACATACCTGACGAAGTGTAATGATTGTATTTTTGACTATGACATTCCGCCCACAACTATTGATATGTGCCATAACAACAGTATGTGTACACTTTTTTCAAACGTTATTCACCTTTAGATTTCACCTGTAGATTTCAATTATTTTAAAAACGAATCACCAATTAAACATTTAAGTACCTCAGATGCACTGTATTAAGTCATAAAAAAGGAACCAAAAATGATTAAATAACTTTCTAATATACAAATATGTATCTTAAATAGGGTTTAGTTTGATATGGTTTAGTATTGTTTAACGTCCTATCAACAGCTATGGTCATTTAAGGACAGCCTCCCCTGCGTGCAAGATGCATGCGTGTAGTGTATGCGTGTGTTTTTTGGGAGGCTGCGATATATTCGTGTTTGAGTCCATGTGATAGCGCGGAACTGATGTCGACTTTAAAGTGCTACCTCACTGAAACATACTGCCGAAGACACCCAGCAGGACATCCCACGCGGTCACATTATACTGACAACGGACGAACCAGTCGTCCCACTCCTAAATTGCTGAGAGTTTCCGACAACAGTCCTCAGAAGTTCGGTACCCTGGAACCAATCCCAGGGTTTCCGACAACAGTCCTCAGAAGTTCGGTACCTTCGAACCAATCCCAGGGTTTCCGACAACAGTCTTCAGAAGTTCGTTACCCTCTAACCAATCCCAGGGTTTCTGACAACAGTCCTCAGAAGTTCGTTTACCTCTAACCAATCCCAGGGTTTCCGACAACAGTCCTCAGAAGTTCGGTACCCTGGAACCAATCCCAGGGTTTCCGACAACAGTCCGCAGAAGTTCGTTTCCCTCGAACCAATCCCAGGGTTTCCGACAACAGTCCTCTGAAGTTCGGTACCCTGGAACCAATCCCAGGGTTTCCGACAACAGTCTTCAGAAGTTCGTTACCCTCTAACCAATCCCAGGGTTTCCGACAACAGTCCGCAGAAGTTCGTTTCCCTCGAACCAATCCCAGGGTTTCCGACAACAGACCTCTGAAGTTCGGTACCCTGGAACCAATCCCAGGGTTTCCGACAACAGACCTCTGAAGTTCGGTACCCTGGAACCAATCCCAGGGTTTCCGACAACATTCCTCTGAAGTTCGGTACCCTGGAACCAATCCCAGGGGTTCCGACCACAGTCCGCAGAAGTTCGTTTCCCTCGAACCAATCCCAGGGTTTCCGACAACATTCCTCTGAAGTTCGGTACCCTGGAACCAATCCCAGGGATTCCGACAACAGTCCGCAGAAGTTCGTTTCCCTCGAACCAATCCCAGGGTTTCCGACAACAGTCCTCAGAAGTTCGGTACCCTCGAACCAAGCATACTGTTTCGAAAAATAATTTTTTAAGGTGTAATCACCTGTGAGTTTCGTGCATCTTCCACTAAGGAATCAATGGTCACTCAGCTGTCTGTGCTTAACATAATTTCATCTAAATGTCATCGCAACAGTTAGCCTTTTACTTATTATACCAACACTGGTGTCACCAGTAGTTCTAATATCTTGATATGATTCTTTAGCTATGGTAATATTTCATCGAACTCACACTCAAATGTAATCCGATCATTTACACCTTAGGCCATAAATAGATTTTTGACTTAAAGTCATTACAACTCCATTTCAGTATTGTCTAAGGCTCTGCTTTTCATTGTTTCATGGTATGTATATGGCAAATCAATATTGCTCCATCAAATCCTTTCGCAAACTGAGTGCTTCAAAATGACATGATCTGAATTCCATGTATGAATTTTAAAGTTTTTGATTCCGATATAAATCACATGGCTTCATAATATCAGCTTATTTTAGCCACCAATAACCCAGTTGGACCACTATCAAGCCAACAAAATCCATGTTTCCTCATTATCCATCCACCAAAAACTCCGGCCGTATAAGTATAACAACCTTTTGACAATATCTTACACATTTCAAATTTGACCAAACATTGAATAGGTTGCTGTTGTTACTTTGTTTTATTTTGGAATTCAATGTACTTAAAAAAAAAGTAAAAATAACTTCAGCTCGAACATACACTTATCAAAGGTTAACAGAATTTAGTCCATAGAGGTAATATTCCGTATACCTGAGAAGCTGTTAGGACGTGTAAATTAACGTAAACTTTTATTTGAATACAATATTATATGTTGCAGAGAAATCCGTCACAATACCAGGTTTAATATGGTCAGAATTAACGGGGTACAAGTGTGGTGTTGAATATGGGGTTAATTTGTTTAACAATAAGATAATTCCTATTAAGTTTTTCTTACCTTGGTTGCATGCATCCCCTCTCCAGCCGTCCTGACATCCTCTGGTGTTACAAGATCCGTTTACTATGTTACATCCCCCCTCCAGCCGTCCTGACATCCTCTTGTGTAACAAGATCCGTTTACTATGTTACATCCCCCAGTCTTACAGTGACACTCAGTCGTACAGTCTGGACCGAAGAACCCAGCTGTGCAATCTGTTTGAAAACAACAGGATGTTTAATTTGTCATAGTGTTACATCAGATGTAACACAGAACATTGGGAAGCCTGTATTTCATTATTAAAAACGATCTGAAAGTCGAAACGTATAACGTGTCTATGCATACCCTTCATTGGAGATAACCTAGAATCGATATTCTTTTTCCGAATATACAAGATTTTATGACATTAGTAGTAAATAAATGTGTATCGGAATATGATTAAGACAATGAACAACTGAAGGTTTGATATTGTATTCCATGTACGCTATGACGACTGTTGTTTTAAGTCTCAAATGCAAGAGAAAGTCAGGACTAGTTTTGTAATAAATACAAATACTCAATTAAAGGAAAATAATTTTCATAAAAAAAGTGCATACATGGATATTTTATATGGATACTGGTTTATTGTATAGGTATATTGTAAACAGGACTGTTTAAGCATAATTTGAGAATAAGGTTATTTTTCAGTTTTTTTAATGTTTTGTATGTCGTGCGTCGACAAATAAAACATGATAGCAGATTTTTCGTTCAGGTTTCACTTTAAACTGAACAATCGTTAAAACAATTGAAACGTTACCATCTTCTCATCTCGTGTGGCCCATACTCATATAGAGTGTGCACATGATCATATTTAACAGACATTGTATGAATTCAGAGACGTCTGCGTATACTAGCCATTTTGGGTCGTTTAAAATAATAGTAAAATAGTTATATTTATTCTGTTTGATAAATTATATCCGAATAGGAAAACAACACTCAAAGAAGAGATGCTGATTATAATAATATTCACTACTTAAAATACAAAGAAACAATGTAATAACCTTACGGGACTGTTCCTAATTAATTTAACAAATTGATCATAGTACCTCCCAAGCAACACTGATCTGATTTCATCATCATTATACATATCTTTCATTTAGCATTCGCTATGGAAAAATCAGTTGAAGGAAAACATTTAGTTTGAGCATGTCGTGATACAAGTGCTTCACACGTGCTGTGTATTTTTCATATGTTTCAGACACGGATTTCCATTCTTTGGCCTTTCGTATACTGATTAATCCTTTACTGACAAAATGGCAATATGGTACATAAAATATGTCTACTTCGTCTGGCATTATACATTGACTTATTGACTTATTAAGTTTTTTTGATAAGTGTCTCTGTACTTGGAATTTCTAGGGATTATATTTTTATAGTATGGAACATTTTATTAATTTTCTAAATTTGAAACCTCACATGGTGGTGATCTGTTCATGAATTAACGAAATGTAAATTAAGCTACATTAGAAAAACATATCTTGCAAATGCAAATAATGATAAGATACAGAAAGTTATTTCTTTTTTCGGTGCATTTATTTCTTTGAAGATATCATCTTTGTTTGTTGGGTGGGTTTTTTTCGTCTTTAAATTCGCACACTATATATTATTCAATCTTCAGGCGATGCCCATTGACCAATCTTTAAACGAGGTATATAGTGTTTAGTACATATCTATATATAAAGTCATATATATTATAGATAACTGATAAATACCCCGAGTAGAACAGCTGTCACCAGACCATCCACGCAAACACTCGGGGACGTAACACGTTCCCGTGACTGGGTTACAGTCATTTTTCAGGCAATGACAGGCTTTGTTGCAGTTTGGTCCAAACGTCGTACTCGAACAATCTGTAGATTGTACAGAGAATTTAAACAAACAGATATAAAAGAGAAAATGCTGCTTGACGCCCCAAAATCTACACTCAATGCCAATCCATGGTCTTTTGTTACATACTGTTCTCCATTGAATTTAATCAAATGTTTTTTGAAATAGAGATAAAAAAGAATAAGTTAATTGACGCACTTAATCTATATATAATCAATTCAATCCATGGTATTCTGTTTCACTCTGTTTTCCACAAATTTATCAAAGAGATATAAAAAAAAAAAACAAGAAAAAAAACTTAACTCTAAATTCTTATCCATAGTCTTCTGTTTTATTATATTCTCCATTAAATTTTATCTAAGAGAGGTAAAAAAGTTAATTGAAGCACCTAAATCTAGATTAATTCCAATCGATGGTTTTCTGTTTCATTTTGTTCTCCATGAAATTGTTCAAAAAACGAACAGTAAGAGGAAAATACTTACAAACATATCCACTCAAACTCGTTTGAGTCGGAATAAGCGATAAAAAAATAAACATCTTTCATGCAAGCTAATATTTGAAAACGAAATAAAGCAAACTATAGCGTGATAGTGTGTTAATCCAAGATTTTCAGCATGATTGTTGCATTTATTTTGTTTCAAGAATGACAACACGTTTGAAATAAAATGTTATGTGAATTAAATATTTAAAAAAAATGTTATTCTGTACATACTGCACTTTGTAAGAAATTCTTCGAATTTTAATATTTTAAGAAACATTTTTATGAGTATTGCTGACAATTGTACGAAGTTACGCCAACACTACAGTGACTTCAGGTCCACAATGCATCAAGCTTGTAGGTAGCAGTGTACAGTAGAAATGGCCTGACTCTGAAAAACAAGGCACATGTCTAAGAAATGTAAATACGTATAAAGTAATGAGAAGTGTATGAATTTCTTTTTTCTTTGTTCAGCTCTTGTGAATTTAGGCAATGCTTTGATAAAAGATGCTGTAGATGGTGAGAATGATTCAGTCACAGCAGAATAAAATGTCTGATATGTATGGTTTATTTACATGTTTGGTATTAAGGACAGCATATCCCTTGTCAAACAGTATATTACAAGAAAGTATATAGAATATATTGACTGTAAGCAGTCTGTTGATATAATTTTGTGTGAAATTTGGAAATCAAGAACACAACTAAAACTTTCAAGTTTGAAACAGGAGTGTTTTTAATTACATGTAATTGATTCTTCTTCAAAGGCAAGCATTAGCTTATTCAATACTTAAAATGTTACTTGATTGAGTCAACAT